TTTGTGCCTATTTTATTACCTGTATGTATACCCCAAAGGAGTAAAGCATTCTTTATTACTTGCAGTGTGGATTCCCAGTAATTGGAATCTGATCTAAAATAATACTAAGGTTTATCCATAAGTATTACTTCTATACTTTTTTTTTTACAAGAACATTGTCTTCATAGTTTAGTTTTAATCCTGAATTATCATGACTTTACCTTTCTTTGTCCTTTATGAATTATTTACATGCTGAGGTGATTATTCATATATCTCTATTTCTCTAAGGCCTTTTGATATTTAAAGAAGTGAAATAATACTAAAATAATATGATAGTATAAACCATCATTATTACTACTTATGAACTTATATTTTTACTTTTCAATAAATATCTGTGTCAGCAAATTGAGTATAAAATATACAAGTGCTATAAAATAGCAATCAATCACTCATATGTACATTGAATGACTCCAGAATCTTAGAACTCAATATTACTCAAGTAAACTAACATGTGATATGTTGATATATTTCTGAGAAGGTAACATTTGCAAGGTAAATTTGGAATATTTTATTTACTTGTATCTTTAAGATTTAATATAACTGAAGCATCAACAATGCATGCAACAATTAAATGTTCACTAGGGTATACTAGTTTCAGCTAGACTTATGTACTAGTTATAAAAGATAAACACAAAGTTAAATCTGTGATTAATAAATGACTGGAAATAAGCACTATAATATAAAATTCCAGATTTGGGGTCTCAGAAAATTATATATATATTATAAAAACAGTGCACAGGATATATTCACTTTGGAGAATATTTAGAGTTTCAACTATCTTCACATTTGGGCATTTAAAAAACTGTCTTCTGTATTTCTTTGAAGCATGTAGATACTTCATAACCTCAAATACACTAATATATATATTTTGGTTGTCTAATTAGACAAACTTGAGTCTATCAGAAGACCTAGTCACTTAACATTTGATGATCCAAATATTGCAATTGATAAGTCAACTGATTATCTTCCTTGATGTGAATTTGCATTGGAAGTATGATTAGAAAGTTTCCCTCATTACATTAGTTTGCTGTTGGGCAATCTTTGTGCTTCTGTTGTCGCACATACATGCAGTTGACATTCAGATTTACTCCCTCAACCCAGATCTGAATTTCCAAGATAACCCTTCATGTCTCTGGCTTATTAAACTTAAGCTAATCAAACCACATATAAATTCTCCAACTACAAACATTTTCCCTTCCTTCCTTCCTTCCTTCCTTCCTCTGGTTAACGGTGTCATTATACTTCTAGCCATCTCTGCACCTAAAAGCTCCTTGTGTTCCTACTTTTCCCAGTCATACTATATGCTTCCCACTAGAGCATTCTCAGATATCTTGTGGTTGCTCGATCTTCTTTGCCTTTTACCCCACCGCACGCATACCAACTCTAGCTTTTTCATTGTTGCCACAATTCATCTGTGTCCCCCAAGTTCTTCGAACTCACTGGCCCAAAATATGGCTTGTGATTGTCCATTTCATGATTCTTTCATATTTTCTGATTAAGTGAAGGGTTAAAAAATATTGGCAACATTGTTTATTTTCTTAAAAAATATTACTACTCTTTTTTGGTCATGAGTAATCAGTTTCATGTTTAACCTGTGCATGACTATTTTTAAGTAAGAGAATGGCAAGTACTACAATTTAATCAGAGTATAACGTCTGTTGAAGAGAAGAGGCTCCATCCATCAGCATTAATAATAATAAAAAATATTACTACCCTTTTTTGGTCATGAGTAATCAGTTTCATGTTTAACCTGTGCATGACTATTTTTAAGTAAGAGAATGGCAAGTACTACAATTTAATCAGAGTATAACGTCTGTTGAAGAGAAGAGGCTCCATCCATCAGCATTAATAATAATAATGGATTTACCAAAGCTCTCAGCTTTGTAATCTTAGGAACTTGATTTTGTCAACACTTCTTAAGTGTTGAAGAAAATGCAAAACTGTCATAATACATGTAAGGATTAGGGAAGTTGCTCTTGTGATAGAAAAATAAAAACAAAGAGGGTGTCAAGGAAGGCTAGAGAGCCCGCACCTTACAGTGTCTGCCCGAAAGGCGAAGTGCAAGGTCCTAGCCTGCTCTGGGGCAGTGACATTACAGGAATCCTTGAAGCTCAGACAGAGGAGTCCTGTGATTTTTCCCAGGAATGGGCCTATTTTAGCATCTCCACCACATTTGCTCATTGGCTAGGAGCCGCGCTGAGGTCGCATGACCTAGGGAGCAGCAGGTCTCAGAACACAGCAGCTGGGATTCCTATCTGATAACACCTGTAGTTAGAGATCTGCATTGTCTTGGCCACCACAGCGCTTAAAGATGATCGTATTTCTTAAAACAGAGTGTATCTAGCTAAGCTCGAAACAGTCTTGATTAAACATCAGTAATAGCTGTTTTGCTTACACTAAGAATTAACTTAGACTGCAGTGTCAGAGACTCTGGTTATAAGCTAAACAGATTTTCTCCATGTTGGCAGATTTCTATCTAGTTTGCAGTCATATTGGTGAGCATAGACTCAGAATAGAGACATAAGTCGGCAATTCAAACTTTAATTACACCAGGGTGGGACATCGTTCTATTTGCCTCCATACCAGGGCTACGCCTGCCCCAAGAAACATACAAATCTCTTCTGAGCCTAAGCACCCTCCGTCTGGACAGGACGGGAGCAAAGCTGCTGAAGTACGCCTCTCGAAGTCTGGTCTCTCAGGTTCCAGGCAGAGCAGTCCCCTCTGTGTTTATTAGCTATTGAACAAAGCAAACCAACAGAAGGTTGGCTTAAAGCACCAATTTGTCATCTATAACTACCAGTTCTGGGGCCAGGTAAGTGATTGTTCTGCTCACCATTAGCCTGACTGGTATTCATGGCATAGGATGGCTTCACTCAAATAGCTGGGGACTCAGATAGGATGGCGGGGAAGGAACGTATGGCCTCTCTCCACATGGCCTTTCACCCTCCGGAAAGCCAGTCCGGGCTTCTTTACCTGGTCTCATAAGGATTCCCAATGACAAGAAAGGGAAGGCCCTGATACGTAAGCACTTTTCAAGTCTCTCCTTCTGTCTCCTTCAATGTTTTTTATTGTCCTGTTGACTAAGGCAGATCACAGGGTCAACCCCAGAGTCAGTGTGACGGGATCTGTCTGCAGGTATGGAGGCAGGGAGGCCTGATCTAATCGGGAATGATTCTCTCACACCCTCTGATTAGTATGTTTCTCCTCCTCACCCTCCTATTCTTCTTTAGGATAATACAACAAATGAGACTATTTACAAATTATTGCATTTTCTGATCCAGGCATAACAATATTTACGCTGTAAAGTAAACTTTTACATATATTGAATTCATCTGCAATTTGTTAGTTTTTAATTTTCAGTGTTACCAACAATGAAAATCTGTCTCTTTTTATAACTCATAAGGACCCTGAGAGTCTGTGGGTTTTCCTCAGACAAGAAGCTGTGAAGATTCCCTTTCAAATCAAGATTATACTTGGGAAAATTATGAAAATACTTTTTTCATTTTGATTCAGCTGGTCAGTTCACACAGAAGTAGCAATTCATCACATTCCCTGATCCTAGTAAAATAAGAGACGTGTTTATTATTTAGGGTAGTTATTGCTGGAATGTGAAAATTAAGAGGTAGAAATTGAGTAATATCTGACTTGTTAGAAACAGTTATTTTCTACTGTAAAGCTCTTCTGTCAGCCAACTGTGTTGAGCCCGTTATCACTATAATCAGGCGCTTAAGAGGATAAACATGAAAAAATATGTTAAAAATGAAGTAAATGCTTCGGAGTGACTAGCACTTTTGCTTATAATCCAGGCATATTTGGCAGTATGAGGCAAAGCTGTGCATTAGAAATCCTGTTAGTCTGAATGCATCCTGCCATTTTCTAGAGAGAGGAGGTATGGGTGAGGGTACACAGATTTCATTTACCATCACACTAACACATGTATGCAGAGCTAAAGTAGAATCACTGGGTGAGATTACATATCTGTTTTGGGCCTACAATCAGGTCTCAATCATCATTTTTGTTAGCCTGCTCTTTACAGGTATTTCTAGTCACAACCCCCAGACCTCCTCTGGCACTAAAAAATCCACTAGTTAAACATATGCTTGCTTAACATATGTTTCCTGAAAAAAAAAATCAATCAGGTTGGCCATTTGGCAAAAATAAGCAATTACTCAGTTTCATACTGTTCAGGCAGGTGTGCATGTATGTGAGTAAAAGAAGAAACAGTCAGAACTGACGCTCGTGTTTGAAGACAGCATCCGTCTTCAGAGCCTCAGACCTGCTCTTTGGTCCTATTGAAATGACTGGTACATTTCCACGCTGATGAAGGAGAGAGGTAGTGCCTTTGACTTTGACTGAGTCTCTGGTTATTACAGTGAAATTTGGCTTCTGCTATAGTTATTGCTTCCCATCAGCCCAGTGCCAGAACATATAGAAAATTCCTTATTTTTCAACATTGCCCATCAAGTGGCTGGGCTGGTTTGCACAGCTTCCCAGTTGTCTGAACTGTGCTATATTATTTGTACATCTTCATGATTTTAACACAGACCTCCTTCGGGCCTCGAGATTGCTCCCCGTTGGTTTATGCGTCCGGTGCTACTGGAGGGCCATGCTGCCACTCATAAGGTGTGCATATTCATCCCAGGGAAGTTGTAAGCCTTGTGTGAACAGTCATAACCTGGCACATTCCAAGATGTTGTTCGATTGCTCCTTCCTTTTCTGGCTAACACATCGAGTGATATCCGAGAAAATCTCATCTGATTTCCTGCTGAGTACTTTCTTGATAAAAGAAGCAACTTCAATTTCTCTCCATAAAAATAGGAATTTAAAGTATGTACACTTGTACGATCATTTTAGATTTTCATCTGCGAGGCTGAATGAAGCATTTCCGTTCTTACTGTGTTCGCTCGGCTCTAAGGCCCCATGCCCCATTTTAACTGATCAGGCCGTGTTTTTCCTTCCAGGACTACAATGATGAAATTCGTCAGGAACAGCTACGTGAATTATCTTACTTAAATGGCTCAGAGGACTCTGCTCGCGGCAGAGGCATTAGAGGCAGAGGAATCAGAATAGCAACCACAGCTCCTGCAAGGTACATCGGTCCTTACCTTAAATAAATGCACAGCAAACGAGGATGGCCAACCTTCACTCACCTGCTCTGTGTCACGATCATGCTGCCCATAAATAACTTCAACATCAGTAACGACCACCACCCCAAAATAGTAACAATGAACATCTACATAGCACCTGAGAATTTTCATAAATTAATCAAATCATTTGTAGTAAAGTTGAGTATTATTTACAGGTGAGAAACTGAGGTATAAAAAGGTGTGAGGAATTTGTTGCAGGCTGCACAGGCAGTCTGACTCTAAAATTCAAAGTTTGATCTCTTAAGAACTATCCAAAGAAAGTAAATAGAGCAGACCTGAGACTTCCTACTTTCTGGTTCTGTCTCCCTTCTGAGAGCATATAGATGATACAGTCCTTTGCCTTGAAACAGGATGGCCTTGCATGAAGTGAAAGTTATAAATTTTGCCTGTGCCTTAAATGGCCCTTTAATTGCTAAGTCTTGCCAGGTAGGTTGAACAGAGAGGCGATGATAGATGATTGCTAGATAGATAGATGGATAGATAGATATCATTCACTTTGCAAAGAAATCGGAATCTTTCTGCATCAGAATTTTTTTGTAAGCTTCTCGATTTCTCAGGATTTCAGTAGAATGCATTGGTTTGCAAAGAGATGAAGCAGTACAAACTCACAGCCCTCATACACAGACTGTGTGATTCAGTTACTCTCTTCACCCTAGTTTAGTTGGCCTTCAAATCTCGAAGGAACATAGATCTAGAATATTATTTCATACACATAGAAATCATCTCAAGATTCCAAGATACTTTGCAGATTCAATTTATTTACTAAAATATGCCCCAAATATCTTCAGCTACCACTGTCAAGAACACTGTTTTAACATTTAAATCATAAACATCTCAATCAGTTTCACACTTATCAGAAAAAAAGTTAAGAATGATAAATTTCCAAGTAAAATACCAAGGTAATTACTATCTAAATATAAGACAGGACAATTCTGGAAATTACATCTGACTAAAGGAAAAAACTTCTGAAAATATTCTAGAGCTTATTCTTATATTTTTATTTATACAAAATTTAAAAAATGGAACTCTCTAAAACTAACTAGGAACATTTGCTTATTGCTAAAAATCATTGCGACATAACATTTTTAATGGACACACTTTTTTATGGAATTAGTCTTTTATAAAACCTTGCATGTTTCTAACCACATCATGATGGGTTTTGAAATGACATCATTGCAGGTAATCTTAAATTAAATAAGTCATATGGTTTACTAATTGTCACTTTTGTAGTTCAAAAAAAATTATCAGTTTTGACAGTTTTATATGGTTTACCCCAAGTATATCTTCAGAATGTCTACAGAGGGAGAGTGTTTTCTATTCTATATTCCTTGGAATTGGGTCCACTTAAAAAAAATAATGCACTAACCTGCTTTTGAGATTAAAAAACCACCATAATAATAGATTTTATTTTGTTATAGTGGTTCTTTAATTTGCCATGCTTGAGTGGACTATATAGGATTTCACTTTCAATGAAAGTTTTATTCTGGAACATTAATCTCTTTAATGATTCAGTAAAGAATAGCATATTATGGGGTAAATTTTTTTCCTTTTTTTTAAATTAAGGTATCATTGATACACACTCGTATGAAGGTGTCACATGAAAAACAATGTGGTTACTACATTCACCCATATTATCAAGTCCCCCCCATACCTCACTGTAGTCACTGTCCCTCAGCATAGTAAGATGCCACAGAGTCACCACTTGTCTTCTCTGTGCTACATTATGGAGTAAATTTTTAAATGTTTTGGAAGAAAAATCTTGATTGAAAGCTTTTGCTTTTTAATATCCCATACAGGTCTGACACTGCCGTGTAAAAAGAAAAAGAAATGAATGTTGAAAAGTAAACCTCACTTCCAGTGCTATATTGGTATCATTAATGTATTGACATTAATGAAAGTAAATGGAACAGAACTCTTGTTTTCTATTTCAAACCACATGATGGAATGTATCTACGACTTAAAAGGAATAAGGAAAGAGCCACACAAAACAGAAAATCATACTGTTCAGAAAGCTCTTGAAAATATGAGTTAATAGATGCTAATTTATTCACATTTATGAATTATGATTTTATTCAGTTATTCAGTTATACTTATATTCTAAAGAAATGATGCCTGGCATATTTTTAAACTTCTATAGTAATTTGTCAAAAATTTCTTTAGTTAAAGGAATTTACATTTCAATAAACATATCCATGAAAAACTATCTAACCTTCCAATAATAATGAATACCAGAGAGCAAAGCATTACATGTATATATTATAATAATTTATTTTACATAATTGAAGAATTTAAAACACTTGGCATCTCTAACACACATCACCACTACATGTTGTATGAGGGCAAACAGAATAAAACATCAGGGGCAGGTTTTGAAAGCTTTTGTTTACTGCGGTAAGAAATAATACATAAAACTAATGGAGTTTATTAAAGAGATGTATAATCATATTGCTTCTAGAAGGGCTACTTCGTCATTGCTGTGGGTGATAGAGAAGCATTAGAGTAATGAGAGATGGTGAGACAGATGCTGACTTACAGCGGGAAAGCCACTGAGAAAAAAAAAACAAATCCATTATCCAAGATAGGCGTGAACACCACTTGGAATGCCGAGTTATAGGATTAGATTAGAGATTAGAATTTATAGGATTGGTGCCCAATTAGATGATGGAGAAAAAGAGTGGCCCAAGACAAGGATAACTCTCCAATGTGTAGCCTGGTTAGAGATTAATGATACCATAACTAAGATTATGAGAGGGACCAAGTTAAATGAAGAATAAAATTATTGCTATTATTCCTCATAGGTCTGTGGACTGCTGGTGTGACCTTGGGCAGGTGATTTGTACTTTGACTTGGTACTCAACCTTTTAGCTTAGAAATGGTTACATAACAGGCTTGTCAATATTTTAAAAATTAGATGATGCATATAAGGCAGTAGTTCCCAAACCGATCTGCTCCTGGGAATCACTGAGGGCTTCTTACCTGTGTAAAGACTGTGATTTAATTGGCCTGGGGTATGGTCTGGAACTTGGAATTTTTCAAAGGTCTCCAGGTAACTCTAATATGCAAAACATTAAAGCACACCTGACATAAGGCACATAATCTAGGGTTTGGCATGTGTTAGGAATGAAACAGGGAACATAGCCACCACTAGAGTTAGAGACTGCATGGGTGCCCTCTGATGGGACAGAAATAGGGTTGAGGACAGAGAACGGAGGTAGCCATGTCCCAAGGTGGCCCCAAGAATAGTAGCCAGTGCAGGAGTCTGAAGAGTAAGAAATAGGAAGGAGGAAACAGGGCAAAAAGCAGAGCCGTACAAGTCCAAAAAAGGCGTTTTCCAGATAGTAATCCACAGTGATAAATATATCAGGTGCAGTGGAACAGGGATCGTAAATGAATCTAGCGCATTTGGAAACCTGTAGGCTGGTGATCTCAATCAAAAGTATTTTCAACCAACTGGGGAAGCAATTACTAAATTGCATTCATTCAGTTCAGAAATGAACAAGAGGTGAAGAATTAAGGATGGAAAACATTTAAAGAGTCAGAAAAATAAAGGAAAAAATACAGAGCTGTGGACAGTATGCTAAAATAGCTGATGTGAATCTTGGGTTGAATTGGAGAAGAGAGACATAGGGCTAATATTCCAGGGAAAAGACGTGGTGTAGAGGAGATAATGAGGCGAGTTTGCGAGACAGGTTGGCTAGGACTGGGTTCGGGAGACACTTGATGAAGGAAGGAAATGAGAAATGAGATTTTATGTGAGCACCATATAATTTTAAAGCAGGAAGAATTGTTACAGATTCATACATCTAATTTTACCCATTAGGAAAAAAAAAAAAGCCACCTTAGGCTCAAGGAGCTATACTGCTGTAAGTATAGCCAGAACTTGCAAATATAGTTTAAAGGAGGGGGACATAATTTACTACCACCACACGGACACTTGGGAGAGTGTTAAAATGCTAAACTGAACCGGAAGGTAGGATAACAGCTGTAAATCAGAAGTGTTCCAGACAAACCTGGATGTACGCTCACTGTGCTTACAAGGAAACAGGGAAATGCTTGGAGGCACATGAAAATAAAATTGGTTTTTACATTCCTTTTTTTTATAGATGTGTTCTTATATTATCATGATAATATAGAATATTGTATTCTCAGCTATGTTGTGCTTGAAGCGGGCCCTGGGACTTCTGGCTCTTTCATATCTCACCCCCCCCCCCACCCCAGTCTAAGAGAGCTTTCTCTATACATTAGACTCATAATACATTCTCTGATAAATTCTCTATTCATCAGTTCTATAATCTATTTAAAACTTCTAAAAGCTTTACCAGCATTATTACTGTTCATTTGTAAAAGCGCATTTTCTGCAAGCAAGAAAGAACCAGCTGACCGCTATTCCTAGCAGAAGGCATGACCTACCTCCCCCATCTGTGCAGAAAGCCAAACTCTGCGATTGTTGACATCCGGAAGATCATCATTTTTCCCAAAGCTTTAGTGTTCCTGCTGAAAGCAGAGCTTTCTGGAGGCCAGCCTTTCAGACATAATAAAAAGTGAAATAACCGCATTTTTGCCCAGACTTCAAACAAACACTCAACGTTTCCAGAAGCCTTGGAATACTGTGAAAGTTGGCAGCAACCATTTGATCTTAAGCTTTTAGTACAAGTTACTTTTGTGTCAAGCACTGCAGTGCAGAAGATTCAGTTAATGCTTTCTATTGCAGAGTCCTAATGTATTTCACTAGCACCAGAGATACCGTGGGAAAGCAAATTACAATCAGGGACTCTACCAGTTCAGGAGGTAATGTGCATGATGAAAAATCAGTGACAATGAGCTGGGTTTCAGGTAACCTCAAGCTTAATCTACTATAAAAAGCAGAATGATATCACTATGCTTAGAGTACATTTTATTAAAGTGTTAAAGTGCAAACAAATTTTTTTGGTTGTTGCTTTGTAAATGACAGTATTGCACATCGCTGTTGATAACCTCCAGCACGGAGGAGACGCTGACATTTAGCAGCTCAGTTTCATAGATGGTCCAGATAATCATACAGGTTCCCTGACTGAAAGTAGAGCATTCCCATGAAACCTTTTATGAGCCAAAATGGTGTGCAGCAAAGAAGCAATTACCATTAATTTATAAGGAAAAAAATTGAGTGTTTCCAGACCCCAAAAATGACCTCTCTTAGGCTTTTCTGATACTGTAGGACACATCTTGCTAGGGGTTGTTCAAAAATCACTCGAGATAAAGCACCGATGCTCACGGACACAGTTCAGAGCTCTGGCTGCCGGATGCTGAGCGTGGTTCCCAGGAAGCAGCTTCGTGGAGCTGGCGCCATGCAAAGCAAACACTGAAACCATTTTGGCTTCTTTTCGCAAAAGCAAAATCCTCTTCCGATTTCTTTAAGCGGGCGCAAGCAGGCTCTAGCAGAGGCCTTTCATAAAAACAAAGTGGCCTGATGCAACTTCCACAAATCAGGGGATACCTGTATATAGACAATGTTCTGATGGGGGTCTTCTCGGCCAATTTGGGTAAAATGGGAGTGGATTGGTTTCTGTTTGTTTGGGTTTGGCTTTTTCATTTCAGAAAATATCAAAGTATTCTCACCTGGTTTTAATGATAACTAAGTCATAACCAGTATTTACAAAATTTATTCTCTGGAGGTCAAACTACTTCACATCCTAAAGAATCTGAATTAAACATCAACACTCATGCTCACACTCATGCATGAAGAGATAAACATAGTTTTCTCCCCATCATACACTGGCTGTAAGCTGAGAGCTGTATCTATTTTATAGACCCCCTTCTCCCATCCCCTGTTTCTCACCTGTACCCCCACCTGCTTCTCCTAGGGGCCGCGGGGGAGCCATCCCTCCTCCTCCACCACCGGGACGAGGGGTTCTCACCCCTCGAGGGACCACTGTGACTCGCGGAGCCCTTCCAGTGCCCCCTGTCGCAAGAGGTGTGCCCACCCCTCGAGCCCGGGGGGCACCAGCAGTGCCGGGATACAGGGCACCTCCCCCTCCATCCCATGAAGCTTACGAAGAATATGTAAGTACCCTCGAGAAATCAGTTGTTAGGAAGCGTTAAATTGATTGGGTAACAAGCTGAGCCTCAGAGACATTGAAATACCATGAATATAGCAGATGATGTTTGTAGCGGAAAACGAATGTCGTCTGCAACAGAATTTCAGCAGCGCATTTAAATGACAGTGTTTCGAGAAAAGCTTTCATTTTACAGCTGCCGTGGTGGTTGTTAGTACCAGTTAAATAGCTTCCACTTTTTCAAGAATCAAAGCATTCTGAGATTTTCTTATCTTCAGAAGACTTGATCAGTTTTAAAAAGGAAATAATTATGAGCATGAAGTGAATCATTATATATTCAGGAGAATTTCCTGGGACATGAGAAAGATGGCATGAAACTCAGAAATATTTGACAAATACAATGTGATTATGTTAGAAACTTTGGTAATAATGTAAGAATGTGAGGCTGGTCTTTCAGTTAAATATCCTTGTTCTCTCTCAGTATGAAAAAAATAATTTAAAAAATAGAGAGAGAGAATGAACAGAAGAACTGCAGTGTCTGTAAGCAGCCCCTCCTTTTCCATCCACTATAGTGCTTGATACAGCCTTTGACCTTTCATTGAGGTTGAAATATCACCAGTATTCCACTGGTGACATTCTAGTTCCTGTATGCATTCTCTGCTAGATTGTGAAAATTAAAAGGGACAGTGTCCCGCTCACTTGTGTAACCATAGTTAAGCCCGCTGTAAATGTTAGGTTTAATTGATGCAAGCCAGGCCATCATTCTGTGAAACAGATTCATTTTGCCGTTAACCTCTTCAGCATGCTCACCCTCTCATCAGCCTGTTTGTTTCATTCAACTGCCCACAGACAGGCTGTCCCCTTAAAAGTCCTCTGTGAATGATTACTTGTCAGTAATCTTCAAGGACAGTTACTGTCACAAGCTGGGCACTCAAAACATATAAATGTTTTATGGACTGGTTAACAACCAAGTAAAGCCTAATCTTACAATAAAGTGGACATCACTGATGGGTGTTGCTAAGAATATATTAATGCTTAGATTTTGTTGGCTTTCAGGAATAATGCCACTGCTTAACTATGAGACATTGACTAATATCTGCAAGGATGAAAAAAATTAAGTTCAGAGATCCGTTTCTACTGCAAAAGGGAAAATGTGTTCCTCTAAAGTATTTCTTATAAGACATCAAATATCAATGTTTAAGATCTCAGACAATCTGAATATTGCAGAATCACAAACAGTAACATATTCTGCTCTATAAACATGCCCACAGGTCAGGAAACAAAGAACCTAGTCCTGGGTCTGCCATCTCATCCCTGAGACATACTGTGTATAAAATAAGGACCTGTTCAATTAATGAACTAAAAATTCACAGCAAGGGTGATGGAATCTTTTTTTTAATCTCTGAGGAACCTTCTAGCTCTACCATCTTTATGTACATTGTCACAATGGTGTTTTTGTTTTCCAAATAGATGCTTAAACAGTCAGATCTTTACTTCAAAAATTGAAAGGGAGAGAAAAGCTGCCAGGTAATAGTGGTCAACATTGTTATTAATTGGGGAATTTACAGGACATATAGGACACCTTGAAAGAGAACAAGATTGGCAAAACATCAAAGTCTTTCACGTAGCTACGAAAACTTGCATTCCAATTTATAGTGAATGAATCCCTGGAGTACCAGGCAAACAAGAGTTTACAGAAACATGGGCAGAAAGATTATATTCTGAATGAGGAAATCAAGAAGGAGGGTGGTTCTCAGAGTAAGTAGAAGAAATCTTAAAGCCATGCAGTCTGAATGTTTTACTTAGGTTTTAAAGTATCCAGTATCTTTATTCATGTACTGAGCCTCTGTCTTCTTTCAAACACTGTTCTGAAGATCCTAGAGATAGAGCTGTGAACAGAACTGGCCAAATATCTGTTTTCATAAAGCTTACTTAACATTTTAGTGGGAGGAGACAGAAAGGAAACATATATAAATAAATGAATCCAGCAATGCCAGGGAGAGAGAAGTACTGTGGAGAGGGGCAGCAGCAGGGCACAACCCCAAAACGGGCTGTTAGAGAAGGTGTCTGAAGGAGAGATGAGCACATGCCTGAATGAAGCGAGGGTCCAGGCCACGGGATATCTCTTTAGGGAATCCTGGTGAAGGACGCTGCAAGCACACATGCCCGAAATGGAACCTGCTTGTGCTATTTGGGGTTGAGCAAGGAGGACACTACAGCTGGAGCGGAATGTGTCAGGGGAGGTAGGAGAGAAAGTCAAGGGATGGACAGGCCAGTTCCTGCTGCTATTGGGAAGACTGGGACAGGAACATGATATGATCAGTATTATGTTTTAAAAGGTTTGCTCTGCCTGCATGTGGAGAACAGAATATGAGGTGGGGGTGGGCACAAGAGCAGAGACAGGGAGACTGCTGATTAACTCCTTGTAGTATTTCCCCCATGGAGGAGGGTTTGGAGGGGATGCAAAGAGATTTGATTCCGAATGCACTGTGAAAATCATCTGTTAGGACTGGATGATGGAATAGATGTAGGATGGATGAAAAAGGAAAGGAGTAAAAGATCGTTTTTGTGAAGTCAAGGTTAAATTGAACCTTGGAATGAACAGGGGTTAAACTGAGGTGTCATTCATTGAAATCAGAACTGGAGGGTAATGGAAAGTTCAGTGGGAGATCCTATTAAAGATGTTTGGCCTTCAGGAAAATCTGTCGAGTTGCTGGGTGAACAGGACCTGACTTTTAAAACAGCAGTGTCCCGAGATTGGAATTTTAGCGGTGTATTTATAAACACTCTGAGGCTTGGATTTTCCTTTCTGTTTAATGGGGTTACTATTTCAGCCTCACGTGACTGCGCTGAATAAGTATGAATAAACTCAATATGAAATAAGCGTGCAGAAGTACCTAGAACATTACAGTTATTCAATAAAAAGTACCTAGTGTAAGAGCTCATCTTGCATAATATTCCTTAATTTCTGCTGGGGATAAGCTATGGACCCCATTACCTACTTTTAGTGAATTAATTAGGTATCCTTGATTGCAAATAGCAGAAGCTATTTTCTCTTCTTTTATAAATAAATAAATGAGTAAACAAAGAAACAAACCCGGGGACCTTATATGAACATCGGGTCGTGAAGTCCATAATAGGAATGTCATTAGCCTGAAGAAAGATCTGGACTGAGAAACTAGAAAACTATCAAGAATCTCTCCCCATATCTCATTTATGTCCTTTGTAAATATATTTCCATTTCATTTTAACCTATAGACTGGATTTTTTTTGCTTCTCAGATCAACCCGGCTCCGCCCATGGTGACCTGTGTCCACTCTAGGGCTGCCACGTTTATGTATCCGGGTCTTATCGCCAGCACACGTGAACTGGCTGGCTGTCTCTGTCCTCATCCAGATCCCCAGGTGGGAGCATTAGACTCACCCAGGCTTGTCGGTGTCTAACACTAGTCCGTCAGCCATGGCTGTCAGGCAGGGTTTTCTGGAAATTAGGTCTGGGATCTGCTACTCATCAGCCGTCAGTGGTGAGGAAACAGGAAGAGTGAAGTTTATACAAAATGAATATGGTTACTGGGGACCCAACACACACAGAATAGGGGGAGACACTAGTTTCCAGAGGAGAAGCTATTATAAAGTTGGGAAATATCTCGAAATATATTTATGATAACTCACAGTTGATAACAGGAAAAAATAGATACTTAAAAAAAAACTTTTATGCCATATTTTATTAAAACCTGTCAAATGCCGTATTTCAGTTCTTTTTCTTATAAACGATTCAGTGAGTACATACAAAGTTTAATACGTGGCTAATGAGCTGCTGACAGTAATCTTTGAAGTTTCACTACCAAACACAGATTAACACTCGAGCTGCTACTCTGCTCTAATTTTTAAACTATTGATTCCTGTGAGAGTGGTAAGAAAAACAAAAGTTTTAAGTGTCTCAGTAACAAATAATAGCTTCATGCTGAGTTAGGGTGAAAATGTCAAAGGAGTTCTTAACTTTCAGATAAAATTCCTTAGAAAAGGTTTCCTTTATTATAAATGACAGTGTGAGCCACTCACTCTTCAGACTTTTCTTTCTCCCCTGCTAAGTCTCAGCAGTAAGTCTCTGACCATTAGACTGTATATAGGTAATCCAATCCACTCCTCGCACCTCCCCTGACAAGAAGCAGCTTACTGTAAATGAGATTGCTGCTTAAAACCATCATTAGTGTTAGCTGAGTCTAAAAAAAAAATGTGAATTTTAGTTTAATTGTTACAATCCTAATCCGAACTTCAACCATTAAGAAGCTCCTTTCCACTGACCTTCTGCTAAGAGGAGTATATTTACATTTTACAGATTCATCATCATGATTGATGTGGATTTGAGAAATTGAAAAGCAGACTTCAAAAAAACTCCCACACAACAAAAATGAAACTGATCAGCTTTGTCAGTGGATAATTTGTTAGACTAAGTTCTTAGTTTAAGTAAAACTTAAACTTTTAAATATCTACTAGGTAGGTTGCAGTCACCATATATTAATTCACTTAATCTCATGGTAACACTACCAACCAGTTGATGAACTATTTGAGTAGATGAGGAAACTGAAGCTTGGAACTGAGTCTTGCACCCAGCTTTCTGTCCCCGAAGGCTCTGTATCTTTGTCATCGTAAAATATCCTACATAGGATTTGTCTCCCAGAAAACTCACACACATATATACAGATTAGTTGGACTAAATACCTCCCATCCGGGCAACTAGTGGGGGTTTAAATCACCTCAGCAATAATTAGGACATCTCTCAACCCTTCATGAACACTTACAACTATGGAGAACTCAATACTTCCAGAAACTAGGTGCTGGAAATACAAAAGCTGTGGTTGAAGAGACTGCTTCTATTCTCCAAAAGCTGCCTTCTACTGGGAGCAAAAAAGAGTTAGTCTAACAATTAACACAGAATATGTAATTTCGGTAAAGGGCTCTTATCTTCCTCTACACTCTATTAGAAGTGATGTTTGCACTTACCCTC